GGGGGACTGCAGACCCCTCAAAGTTATGTCGGTTGCATGAAATGCATGACCGAACGTAGTCCTGGCATTTTTACATAATCATTCCACGTGGCATGCTGCCTGTGGCTAACATTTAGGAATGTTCTCGACGCATTTAATTAATTGATCGGTTTGCGCTGGAAGTAACAATACATTGAAGAAGCTTTTACACGCCTTCAAGCTGTTCTGTTTTACAGTTCACTTCTCCCCCGTACTCTCTTACATGGTTCCCTCATGCAGCTGAAAATGATTACCTAACGTGCCCGGTCGGGGTACTGCTCCTGCTCACCACGCTTCTCGGTTCAGGGGCAGCGCGTGCCGACACCGGTTCACAAATAGCTCAAACACTACGACTGAGGGCCCAGATGGAGCTCAATGACTTACGCTATGCTCGAGATGAAGCACGCTCACTCTATCGAATGATCCATTCGGAAATGACTTCGGCTCAAACGTATATGGACAATTATAGGGTACCGATCATACATGTTTCCAACGGGATATTCATTAAAGAAGGTTATCATCTACAGACCGAGTTCCGTCGCAGCATTCTGGACGAATTTCACGGTCAAGAGAGAGAAGTAAGCGTATCCAGTTATGTGCCACTTTTGATGCTTAGTTAATCAATGCAAAGATTACATTTTTTAAGAGTTACGTATTTTATTTGGAAAGTTCAGCGAGTGAGAAATAATCAGGATTATCACAAACTGAATAGGAGCAAATGTTTAGAATCCCTTGGAAATAAAAGGATCTTGTGTACTGCAAGCAGCTCGCTTGATTCGGCTTGCTCACATTGGCAGAGTGCAATTGAAAGGAGGCTACAATTACTGTTGGTATTGCTTCCAAAAAAATATCGGAGAAGTTACGGTCAACCTAGCTGCAAGCAGTATCAACAGCTTCTGAATGCAATTACTGTGGAGTATAATACGTTTTACTACCACATTACATCAGTTTATGATTCCTCAAATTTTACCGATGATATCACATCGAAAAACATTTTGTATGAGATCTTTTCTCACGTATAAGGGCGATGGTGAATAAGTGTTTCTGGTTGTTGGTATATATGTTCTGAGCATGATGATATTCAATAGACTATGCAAAATAAACTTCTACAGTCCTAATTCTTGCAGCGTATGATTTTATCAAACAGACCTATTCAAATCAGAATTAGTCCATACGTCTGACACTTCAATTATCCTTCCCAGTTGATTCAATGTACCTCCGGAGTGAGTTGAACCAAAAACAAAGGAGGCGTCAAACGGTGTATGTAGATTCCACGTCTTCATGCTGGGCTGTAATGTTCTCCTCGCGTAATTACGGAGGTATTCCAACCTTGTTTGATCTATGAGAGACATTTAGGGTTTGTTCTGAACACAACAATCATCTCTGCTTATCTCTGCGGGTATTTTCTGTTTGCTTTTGTCAGCTGAATTTTCAAAATCAATCACACGCGGCGAAAGAGATCAACTACTGGGTAAACACCGAGACAAAGGGATTGATCCCACGTTTCTTCCGCTCGCCCGATGAACTTCCCCGTGATTCGCGTCTGGTTGTGTTCAATATTTTTACTTTTAAAGGTAAGACTGCCGTGGCATGTCAAAGATGTCCAGTCTAAACTATGTTGCACATTCGCATTAGATCATCAGTTAAATGCAACTTTAAAAAACCGAAAATCCTGGAATGAAGTATGTTTGTGTTCAAAAGCTCGAATCTTCCGTTGGTGACGGTTTGCTTGGTGTTGTACGGGGAAGATCATTTTTAACTCTAGGGTTATTGTTAGGTATAATTCGTCCCTCATTCAATATGTTTCTTCTTCCTTGAAAAGAAAATGTAAAGTTGTTCGGCTGTTTCTTTGACTATAGTGATACCTTAATGGTGTTCATTGGACAAAACGTCTCCATACTCTCTTTGAGAAGGGCGTTAAGCCGTAAGTTACCAATAGATCACATAATAATTTCTCCCATGGCCTACGCTGAACTAAATATAAGGGATACATATCCTCGCTTTAATTTGTCATTCAAGGAGTTCTTCAAGATGCTATTCCCGCTTCATTCTCAACTTGTATTTCTTGCATGCCTACATTTGATGATTTTTTGCTCATTGAGTATGACAAGGATTTTGTGTATTGCATGAAGATTTTGAATTCTTCCATGTACCCCAATCTTAAGCGCAACATTTTACTGCTCGTCGACTGGTCTTCATAATACAAACTTGGAATGAATACTTCCGTATGTAAACGGAATTGTTTTTATATTTAAGGATGAAATAAACAGTGAAGTGATGAACTCTTGCCAGTGTGTCGCTATCAATGAAAAACAAGTCTCCAGCGCGTACTCCGTCAAATACGTGGGAATCACCATTGTACCGGACTGTCATCCAGTGGTTGAGTAACTCGTAGATACGAACCGCAAGTCCGATTCCAGATAACGAGAAGTCGGTAATCTACGTGTACTGTAAGCAGACAAATATGTACAAAACCAAACACCATACCTCAAATCGTGGGCCAATCCGGTCTCCACAGTACAAGAACGAACTACAACGCAGGTCAAGGCGCAGAAAAAGCACCTGCGGAGCGGTCACCAAAAGGAATGCAAACTCGGCTTAGAAAAGGGACGATTTAAGGGATAGAAACACCAATCGCAAGTGCTCGATAAAGAAGCGCAGTCATTGGTCAATGCAAGACACACAAACAGTTTGTGACATACGTTGAGAGCAAGGTCGTCAGAGATGAACAAAAACTGCTATCTCATACATTACTGTAGGGGACAAACCAAGTACGCCATCAGGGAGTGTGTTATGCTACCAAAGTAGAGTGGATATACGAGAACCAGGGAAATTCTGCAACAGAACTTCGGTCAGCCACACCGAATTGCGAGGAGTCTGATAGATGGATTGCTACAGGGAGATAAACCCGTACCTAACCGAGCAGACGCACTCTCGGACCTGTCCATTCGTATGGAGAATCGCTCCATTGTCCTAACCCAAATGTCCTACCAAGCTGACCTCAACTCTGCCCATACGCTCGAGCGAATAGCCAGGTTACTGCCAAAATCTTTACAGTACAAATGGGCTGATTACGTTGACTCAGTCTCAGCTGGAAAAAGGCAACCGACATTCGCAGATCTCAATACGTTCGTCTCGACCAGGGCTAGGATTGCTCGCAGCCACTTCGGGAGTGTGGCGGACGAACGCGACCGTCCTGTGTTTGGGAAGAAACTGGTGGGAGGTTCCGGATCAGTAACGCAAAAAGAACATACTGTTTTTCATACTGTTGGAAGAAAGGAACCTAGAATTTGTCGTCTGTGTAAGCAGTTACATTGTTTGACTTTGTGCCCGCAACTTCACACCCTTGATGTTGAAGACCGATGGAAGAAGGTTAGAGAATGGAACCTATGTTTTGAGTGTCTTGGCCATGGTCATCCTGTGAGTAAGTGTCCATCAAACGTCAGCTGTGAAACCAATGGTTGTAAGGCGAAACACCACACATTGCTGCATACCACAAAATTAAACAGAGAAACCGAAATTCAGACTCGAGTCACGGCCACAAGCATCACTCACAAATGCATAATTTTTGGTATGCTACCGGTACCACTCTTGGAACCGAAAAGAGAAATCTAAACATACGCTTTTTTGGATAATGGTTCCGATGTCAGGATTCTCAGGTACAAAATCATGAAAAAACTTGAACTAGAAACAGACAGTTGCCCAATGACCATCAGTACGGTCAACGTTACCGCCGATATACAAAGCGAATGTGCAAGCTTAGTTGTTGCCGCCTTAGACAGAACGGAAACAATAACAATTGATAGGGTGTTTTCTGTTCCAACCCTGCCGATAGAACAACACAAGGTTCCACTCACCACGGAGGCACTGAGATGGCCACATTTAGAAGGAATACATTTTGCGGAAGGTGCAAACCGTGAGGTAACGCTGCTGATTGGATGCCACGTTCCAGAAGCACACTGGTGTCTAGAGCAGAGAGTAGGCGGAAGAAAGCAAACGTACGCGATTAAAACTTTGTTGGGTTGGGTCATGTTTAGACCTTCAGGTAAAGGNCAACCATCTGAAGCAAACTCGGTGTACTTTGATGGAACAGATACGGTCTATGTATGAACGGGAGTTTGTCGACTACAACCATTCGGATGAAACAATGTCCCTAGAAGATAAGAAAGCCATGTCAATCGTGAAAAACGCCACATTAATGTCAGACGGACACTTGGAGGTTCCCATTCCGTGCAAAGGAGATCCTGTAAACCTCCCGAATAATTACGCTATGGTGATCAGCCGATTGCAAGGCCTGAAGTCGAGGCTTCAACGAGAACCCATACTCGCTCAGGGATATCGTAATGTCATCAATCATCATCTTAGCTTGAGGCACATTGAGGAAGTTCCCCTGGCAACCGCTCAGAATAGTTTTCGTTTGTACCTGCCTCATCACCCGGTCTTGAATGCAGCGAAACCTGGGAAGGTGAGAGTGATTTTTGATTGTGCCGCAAAGTACAAAGGTGCTTCTTTGAACGACTTTCTCTATCAAGGCCCAGACCTGACATCGAACATGATCGGTGTGCTTTTGAGATTCCGATGGGACCCAGTGTTGATGGCAGCGGACATCGAGGAGATGTTTATGCAGATACGTATCCCGAGACCTGAGAGAGGAGCCTTCAGGTTCATGTGGTGGCCCGATGGGAATATGGACTGCCAACCAAAGGAATATCAGATGGTCGCCCACTCACTTGACGCGAAATCCTCCCCGTTTTGTTCCAACTTCGCACTCACTTGTGTGAGAGAACTGTTCAGATCAACTGTCCGTGAGTCCACCAGCGATGCAATTGGTAAAAGTCTCTATGTTGATGACTGCCTCAAGGCATTTGACGACGAAGCAGCATTATTTGTGCAAGAGATTTTCGACTTGTTGTCAAACGGAGGGTTTCGTCTCCACAAATGGATGTCTAACAGTCCGAAACTCCTAAATACTATACCGACTTATGAAATAAATGTGGGATTGTTGTCAATTGGAGAGAAGCCTGTTTCAACGCAACGTAAGCTCGGTATGAGTTGGAATACCCTCCAGGACGAATTTCAACTAAGTTCGAACCTTAAAGAGAAGCCTTTGACTAGAAGGGGTTTGCTATCGTGTATTTCATCTCTTTTCGATCCGTTGGGGTTAGTTGAGCCCTGGCTTATGCCGGGTAAAGGACTATTACAATCAATGTATAAACACGGTTGTGGGTGAGACGACCCTATGAATGACAACAAGAGACGTCAATGGAGGACCTGGTCTGATTCTCTAGAGTATCTTGGAACGATTAGAGTACCTCGCAGTGTCATTCCTTTTGAAGGAAAGCAACTCGAGCTAACCGAACTCCACATATTCTGCCACGCCTCGGAGAAAGCCTATAGGGCCGTGGCTTATGCCTGCTTCGTCGACGATATAGGATTCATACATACTGCTATGCTATTTGGTAAGGCGAGAATTGCACCTTCAAAAACAATGACAATTCCTCGACTAGAATTGGTAGCCGCAGCGCTGGCAGCCCGGGTATACGCAATGCTGAAAAAACAAATAGATGATCCCATTAACAACGTTTCCCTATGGACGGACTCAACCATCGTGCTCTACTACTTACGCAACGAGTCCACTCGATTTTGTACGTCCGTAGCCAACAGGGTATCAGCTATACACGAACACAAACGCTGAACAATGGAGACATGTGAACTCGGAACAGAATCCAGCTGATCTAGCATCGCCAGGAATAATAAAAAAGGGGGAATCTTACTTCTGGCTGCATGGACCTCGATTCCTCTTACTGACACCGAACATGTGGCCATCATATCCTATAAAGGTTGGGGTGCCGAATGGCCTAGAACTCAAGCGCACGTCGGGATCCTTGAATCAAATACGGTGTCTTGAACAGGACAAGCTGCTGAAGAGTTACTCCAGTTGGTCGCGTCTTCAAAGAGCTGTTGCGTGGCTTCGTCGCTTCAAAACCTGGTGCCTTAACCGTTGTGGTAGTCGAAAGGCTGAAAGCGGGATCACAGGACCACTGACGGTGGCGGAAATGCACTCCGCCATAGTGGATATCGTCAGATTAGTGCAACGAGAAACCTACGCAAAGGATATACGCCTTCTCAGCCAAATACACGCAGGGAACGGGAAAAGAGACCTCTTGAAGTCCAGTTCGTTTCGAAGACTGTCACCAATATTGCTGAACGAGGTATTATGTGTTGGAGGTAGACTGGAATTTACGAGTTTCGATGACAGCGCAAAACACCCGATGATGCTCTCTAGTAGACATCCGATTGTTGACCTGGTTATACGTCACACACACGAACAACAGGGCCACTGCGGCGCCGCGCATACCCTTAACATCCTAAGAAGGAAATTTGTGATTATTCATAGAGGGAACGCAGGAAAACGCCTATTGAAGAAATATGTACTGTGTCGTAGAGTATTGGCAACCCCGTCAGAGCAACCGATGTCACCCCTCCCCAAGTCCTGAGTCGAAGCAGGCTGGCATCCATTTGAGCACGTTGGAGTGGACTACTTCAGGCCAATTGTTGTCAAGCGAGGGCGTGGTACAGAGAAACGTTATGGTTGCCTATTCACATGTTTAAAAATAAGAGCGGTACACATTGAAATAGCGCACGATTTGTCGACAAACTCGCTTATCTCGGCGTTGCTGAGGTTTATTGGAAGACGAGGACGCCCATCTCATATCTACAGTGACAATGGTACAAATTTGTGGGTGCCGTTAAAGTGCTTCCAGATGGGGTTCGGAAATGGGATCAATGGAAGATAAATGTCAAACCTGCCACGCATGATATTCACATATTCACATATTATGCAATAATTGGGGGTACATTTTATACGGGACCTCACAGAAGACGATAGGATAATTCCCAAAGAAACTTATCGTGCCCACGAAAAAGTTGCGGCTCGGCTATCTGCTCTGATGGTGTGAGCTGCACCTAGATTATCGTATTCCACTGAATCGGTTCGACCACAAGCACCAGATTCAGCTTGAAACAAAAAATATGTCAAGTTGAAGACAACACAGTTTACCATTTTCAAAACAAGTGACATCATTGAACCGCCTTACTTTCGGTGCAAAGTCTATGCAATAGAGCGTACCAACGGGTTGAAAAACCCCGTTTCCCACTGTGAGGTTTTTGTTCGAAAGCTATAGGTGATGTTTCTTAGGACATGTTTTAAAGAGCCCAGATTCACTACCAGAAACTTTAAAATACTTTGCGGTATTTTGACATGCACTGTACGAGAGCATAACGAAAGGTTTCTGGATGCACAAAATGTTTTATTTACCACACTAAAATAAGCATTACATTTTCTCAAAGTATCTTCCACCACCGTGCATGCGCAGTCTCGTGCGCGCAAACCATTCGGTGAAATAGCTCGATTATGCCGGGGCAGATGACGGTTAAACCAGTTCAATAAAAGCCTCCACTGTAGGTGTTGGTGACCAGTATCGGATTCCACGCATCCTAAGCTTGACATTTGGGAACACAGAGTTTCTTGAAGGCGCGTCAGCACCAAAAGCAGCCTGCAAAAGATAAAACTAGTGCTTTAAACCCTTATTTGTATAATCGTGAAAAATCGTCGCCCTCAAGTAACATCGACTGAGGTACAGTCTTACAGTCTGAGTATATAACGAACCTCATATGAATTATTAGCTGTGCTCAACTGTGTTGATATTTGGTTATGTATGAGTTGCAATCACCGAATAATATTCACAATAGATGAAAGTTCACGTTTTCCTCGCTCAGTCATCTGCATATCTTACTGCATATCTGGAAACGTTTTACTCGTCCTCCTCGGACTTATCATTCACCAGTAATTGCGCATCCCATTGTCTATTCGGTTGTAGAAAGTTGGGCCAGACCATTTGCTCCTTATTCAACTGTCGTGGCTGACTTTTGGATCAAAGAGGGTCACGCGATTCGGGTGCCAATGATGAGCACCGTGGAAATGGTGGACTATGCCGATTTCTCAGACCGTGGATTTACTCTGATTCGAAAACGAATGAAGGTGAGTTCCAATTGACCACAGTCCGGGTTGGTGGTGAATTCTCGCGCTTAAGATGGTAGAAATGGGAGATGGAGATTTCGTCAAACCTTATCTTTTTGGGGAGTATAATTCCAATATTGAATAAACCTGCTTTGATTTGGTGATGCTGCTATTCCAAGCCCATTCGAACAGTGAGCACATAATTCACCTCTAATTTTCCAAGTACGTTTGAGTGGAAATTGTCACTAGTATGATTATGGTTATCATTATTGCATATTGTCCAAAACAAACCCGACCATCAATCTAAACTGATTTTGTGGTGCAAAGAACCTAGTGCTTGCATTACCAGCGTATTAAATTTCAAAAGGTTTTCAATAGGACTGAAACCTTCTATATCCTATATTGACCATAAACTCAGTAACTGTATATATTTATCCACAAAACTAACATATCCTTAATGATATTCACTTTTAATACTGTTTCTATTAGTCAAATGCCTTATAAGTCTGCTATTTCTCAATTTGGACGACGGCTGGTGGCACATCGGTTGATAGAAAACCAAACACCAGTAGGGAGTAGTTTTAAGATTGCATTTACAGAAACGAATGATAGGAAGTTGTTTTTCTATGTAGTCCAAGAATTTGGAAATAACATTACATTTGTCAGCTTCCTCCAGTACATGCCGCACTCTGAAATCCAACAGCCACTCACGAGATGACTTATCTGGCTTACCTCTGTATTCAGCACAAGGGTTGGACCTGTTAGGCAGTAATTCACTGAATTCAACTTTGGTACTTGCCAATCCACCAACTGTACAAATCTGTGTCAACAAAATACTATGAGGTCTACACGTTTCGAAGACGAACCACGCGTGAAATATAAAACTGTGTTTTATCTAGGAAGAGAACGACTTTTTGCGAATGCGTTTCGAGAGTAGTAGTCACCAAACACTTGCTTCATCAATACATGCCCTTATTTGTTTGGTGTTCGGTAAACGCTACACATCGGCCGACCTCAGTGGTAATTCAAATCTAGCCATAATTTAGCAAACAGTGGCCTAAGAAAATTGCGGGCTAATCCACACTGACTATCCTCCATTTCGGTTGGTCGTAGTTGTTCGCAGCTTTTCTGATCGAATGTAATCCAAGTCGTGCTTCGGTTCGGTTGATTTTTTCTTGGACGTTTCCTCAGATTTGGGCATGGTTAAGGCACCAAATGGCCTAATAAACCGTTGGCACACAACTGGGTAGCAGTTCTACTCATAAACTCATCCAAATTTACCGTGAAAATGTTGATAGCCCATTGTTGTTGAACCACGGTGCAGTAATCAAAGTAGATACGAATCACGGTCGCGACTGAAGTACAGAATCGCATCAGCAATCGTACGTCGCAGTCTGCCGTCACCGAGACACAGAAGAAACGCCACATAATTAGTGGTTCTTTTATTGAAGAAAATTAATGAAATTATAAACCATGTACAATAGAATTTTATTGGTGATACAGAGCTCCATCAATGGCCTGTTTGTATTCTTGATGTCATATAGCTTCTCTCTGAACCATCCGACTTCCGATTGGTCGGCGCCATTGGCTTGTGGTTTGTTGTACAGAAACTGCAGCGCGCTGCTCCGTGCTTGGCGTTATCCCGTAGGCTAAGATCACCAAGCACGACCTACGTAGAAATAAGCCACCTCAACCACTACTGTGTTCTCTATATCTGCTCAAACTGTTTGTGAGACTAGTTTTGTTATTTGCGAGTTTATCACTATCGCGGTTTAATTTGTGTCTACATGGTGATTCTGAGGTTGATCAACTTTGGAAAGTCTCAATAGTTGTAAATGAGAAGTAGTTGGTTTCCGTGTGACTGAATAGGTTTGGACCTACGAAATCTGTCATGGCAATCAGTTGTCTGAAATTATTTTTGATCGTCACTGCTCTAAAGGATAACGAACAGGAGACTAGTTCGCTAAACTCTTTAGTGCAGAGAATTCTGCATACCAGATGAACCATAGATCAACCAACATCTATTGTACATTAATTCTGTATTGACATTGATTTTTTTTTGGCTATTAGCATGAATAGTTGCGCATCCCAATAGTACAAGGACACTTGAGCATATCACGATTTCTTATTTGAATGATGTCATGAGCATAATAATAGTACTCATCTGAAAATTACTTCAAACGGACATCAAGCTGTTCTAGGAGTTTCGTAATTAACTCTCCATCAGCAGTTCTCACACTACAAAAGCCGTACATCCTCACTGCTGCCTTTGTCACAAGACGTGTTGCAATGAGCTGTTTTCCCCTTTTCTATTTTCGGTTTACATTTCCTCTATGCCTATGAGCAATTCTTCTCTATTTGTTACGTATGCAGATGATATAATGCTCGGAATACCCTACCCCAACCCATCATCTCAGCACACTCTACAAGAAGACATAAAGGAAATAGTGGAATGGGGTTTCAACAAAAGAACCACCTGATGAACCCTCAAAAATATCAAAAGTATGACGACATGTCAAATGTTAGTCCTTTTTATCTATCTTAAATGACCAGACGAATGAGCAATCATCTGTCAGATACAAAGGGACGTTGTTTTCAGCCATAACTTTATTGACCCCGTCAATAACGCATTACTGAAGGTCTTACGTTTTATGTTCTACGTCTTCAATCACTTTCTGTCCTAAATAATCTCGAAAGACGTTTTGCATTTTGCCAAACTGATTTTGTGGATCGCCTGTAATTTTCCGCATCCTTTAAAAAGTACCACAAACGCAGTTCCCCGATCTTTCAAGTTTCTGTCGGTAAGTAGCCTTACACCACGGGAAAATCTGGCACGGCATTTGGTGGCAAACCATCTCAAGGTCTGTAAAACATTCTCCAAGACACTTTTGTCAGATTGTTTCCAACTCTTATAATCTCCTCTTAGTCAGCGCTTTTCTTATTCATCGAGCGTTCCAGTCACAAACTCATAAAGGCACACACAGAGGCTTGCAGGCGCTCTATCGTCTTGTTTCTCACCAGATTTCTCACAAACCATGAACTCTTTGCAGAAAATCTGCTCAAAATGCTAACCTAAACCACTAATAAATATCATGACGTGACTTTGGTTTTATTATATTAGTAGCCGTTTCACATTTTTTAATTGTTGTAATATATCCCTCATTTTTTGACACACTGTGGCTATGTGGTTAATGAATATCAACTCCTAGGGGTGCGTAAAGCTATTCCTTGACTTGAGTATTGCAGAAAGGAATATCATGCAATCATTTTAACTGACTTCAGTATTTTTCGCACTCGGAGCAGATTTTACAGCCGCAGCACAAGCCAGAATGATTATGGTCAAACCAGTTCAAAGCAAACTGGCAATCCCGGTAAAATGACAGTCTCTGAGTTATCATCAATCCCCTGCGGTAAATATTTAATGCTTTATCAATTTTCAATCAATACCCGAAGCGAAATGCAATCTTTGCTGTCCTCAAATGGAGGAAGTGGAGTACAGGGTTACAGAGGCCGACTGGTTGATTGTTTGAATCGGTAATCTAAACCCGGTAAATATGAGGTAGTAACCCCGGGATTTTCTAAAGTAATTAACGTGCTTCGAATCTGAGCGAATTCATTATGGTCTTGAAATGTGGTTTGATTTTTGGGATAGTTCGTCTGGCGTATTGTTTGACCCAACCATTCCTCCATTTGAGCCATATTGAGATGTAGCATAATCGTCCTGTACATATATCGTGGGATATTGCAATATTGTCTTATCATTGGAAATTTCCTCACATTTCACAAACTCTGAATTTCAGAACGATCGCTTCTCGCTGGTCGTCATTATACCGAATGAACGCTGGAATTTAGCTGGACCGGAAGGAGTGCTAAACGGGCAAATCATGCTCAAAACATTATTGGACGAAACTGAACAAACGCCTGTCTCCATAAAACTGCCTCGATTCAAAATGGAAAGTGAACAGGATTTGATTCGTGTGCTCGAATCCATGGGAACTATTGACCTCTTCAGACGGGCCCAAGCAGATCTCTCAGGTAGACGAGTATGACGGGGTGATATTCACGCCAGTAACAACGTTCGTGATCCTGAATTCCTACGCATTCGAATTGTTTGCGATTTTTCTGACTAAACTTTTTTTGATTGACCGAACTCACTAAGTCCTTTTGTACGATACCTCATACCAGACAAACAAGGTGCATTTAGGATTCCAAAAATACACGCTATAGACTTGGAAATCCGGAATCAGATCCGTTTGATCAAATAATGAAAAACATCAGAGTAATAATGTGGGCTAAGTGAAGGCACATTTTGTTTGTTCTGAAATAGTTGGTAATCAAATATAGGCGCGATTTCGAATATGCGCTTGTAAAGGCCAAGTGATGCACAAGTCCGATATGTTCGTGGCGAGTCATCCATTCCAGGGCAAGTTTCGTGTTGCTGGATAAAGCTATTACAGCGCGTAATGCGAGATATCCAAGAGAAGGTTACGTAAATGAAAATTTTTGACGAATATTTATTAGGCCACTGCAAAGTTATTGTCTATTCACTGACAATTTGTACGGCGGGTTAATTAAGTAACTCGCCAGGTGTAATGGTACAGCAATTCGTCCGGAAGAACGTTGAATCCAGGTGATAGGGTAAGATTTAAGTAGTCCTATGTTTTATTCTCGTAAAGCGTGACATTCTTGGCCGTAAGTCAACAATTTTGATTACTAAATAGAGGCTGACTAACTCGAGTCCGAGATGAATAATGGTTAATTCATGTATTACCCATGCCTCTAAGGGAATACACTTGAAGGCTATAGACATCCACCGTGTACTTTTAAACTTTATCAGTAGTCCAAATCTAAACGCGTCAAATAACAAATTTTAGCGATTATCGCCTTCTAACCCAATTGAATTTCACCAGTATACAGCAGACTATACAATAGACTATCGAGATACATACTGATAGGTGGCTGATAATAAATCATAGAGGTCACTAAAAATGTTAGCTCCACTTTGTGCAGCTGATTACTAGCAACTGCGAATTTTGCTCGGAAACCGTGAAACCGTGATTTTCATATACACTGCTTTTAGCCAACACAAAGCCGCCTGATCGATACTTTCACATTCCAAATGTTTTCCCATTCAATAGGAATAACAACAACTGAACGACTTTACATCAGCATGCTTCGACAAGGAACCGTGCTCAAAGTGGACGAGACCGGAATCGAAGCTGCGGCCGCGACTGCCGTGGTCACCGTGCCCACATCAGCCCTACGTGCGACAGTCGACTTCCACGTGGATCAACCATTCGTTTGTTTCCTCTATGATGCAGAATTGCAAATCCCATTATTGGCCGCCAGAATTGCCCGACCGATGGGTGGCTAGCCCAAGCAGACACGTAGTCGTATATCCAAGACGACAGACAATATTCTACAATGGAATGAATTCAGTGCGATTTCTCAATGTAAAAACTATTGCTAGCATTCACGGTTTGACCGCGTTTTCATTAATCTAGCTAGGCAAATTCATTTCCTTTTATTTTTCAATTTATCCACCAATTAATAAACTAGCCGCAATAGGTTATATCAAAAACTGGTGTTTTTCTGTTTTCACCGCGAACCCCACCCACCTACGCTGCTGTTCGATCACTTCTGTAAGTCCAGTGGGTGTCCTCTTGTGACGTAACAATTAGTGCCAAGGAACAGAAAGAAAAACCCTGTTCTATGATGAAAAACTTGTACGCAAATTAGTGAAAGTCATTTTATGTATAGTGTACGTTCACCTGCCAAAGCCACAAGTCTGCGACCGTGGTCATCTCAGATTGATGTGGCTTGCTAGCTCAACTGGTGAGACATACGCTAAGCAGAAGTAAAAAACTGTTTCCTTTCATGGGTTAGAACCTCGTTGAGCTTTCAGATCTTTTAGCGTTTGAATTATTCGAAAAGTCGATGGTATTTAAAAACCAATAAGCTTCTTCTATTTATCACTGCTTTTTCGATTGGATTTAAGAACCAGTATGAACGTTCGACGAACATATCGCTTGACCACGGTCGTACAAATCAGTATTTGTTGATTACTGTTGTTGTTCTATTTTGACATCGAAAACGAACTGTTAACAACATGGTATTAAGGATTTCGGGGAGTTTGATTTTGCGTACGAGGACGAGCGTGTAAGCAAAACGCACACCGATCCCTCCCTAGTAATACGACTGCGCGAATATTCCTGAGGGCAGGGAACAGAGAGATAATGAGGCAGAAAAATAGATGATGAAATGTAATGGGTGTTTATTGTTTATCAGGTGCTTGGATGCTACTCTCTTTTTTTCATTATTTCTGCATTGCTGCTTCATGTGTTTTATTACCCAAGTTCTTATTGTTCAAATTGTTGTTTAGTGGATTGGAAGTTTGTACATGGATTGTGAAAAGTTTAGTAGCCTCGGTGGAATTCAAACTCACGCATGGACGCCGCCTACGCTTTCGTTCAGCGCATGCTCCACCAGCTGAGCTACTATTGGCTGACCCTGAGGATATCTTAAATTTACCATAATATTCTTATGGAAATCGGTCTTCACAGCGGAATTTTACGTGTACACGAACAATATTGATTGGCAATCGAGTGTTGGTGGTGTTTCCCTTTTGACAGCATAAGAAAATCTTGCCTAAAATAGTATTCTCTGAGATGTTGGGTTTGCATTTTTGGAGATGGTAAAAATAGTAAACTGTTCAATTATTTGAATGATTCGATGAGTGAATGTAGAATGTTCATACTTGAAAAAGGTTAGATATATCTTTCATACTAGGTAGAATGTGAATGACTGGACAAAATTTCCCAGGAAGCACAAGACTGGATACGCATGCCTTATGAGCGGCGAGAACCGCGAACCCGGTAGTGTTCTTTGAGGGGATTTTCGTCCAGCCATTCACATACTACTTGTTACGAAATATTCCGTAGAGAAGATCAAGTCACGTTCGTTGCGGTTAGTGGCATTTAACCCAACTACAAAACAGCGAATCCTAGAATTGATACTTCGCTGGACTGGCTCTGAAACAGTTGTCTATCCAAAAGTCACTCGTCGTTGCAAACAAGATTTTATATATATATATATATATATATATATATGTACTTATCAAAGGTGCATGGACGAGATGATTTTTGTGACAAAAGGGTATTTGAATTCAAGAACATTCAAAATCTCTTCGACTTATATCAAGCGAGCGTTATGTTCATGTTGAACATAAAATCGATCGATGCTATTGCATTCCTAGGCGTATGTCTATTCTATCGCTCGGATGGGAGGGGTCAAGTAGGAAATCGATTGGGAAAAAAACTGGGCCGGATAATATACAAGTTGTCCTCGTTGGATGCGGTTACAACAATCTGAAGAATCTGATCCCATGCAGTGCGAAAAGAACACCATATTATGCCCATTGGACTCAAAAAAGGAAGAAATGTTCAAATCGGTGGGTGTCTTCCTAGAAAAGCGATATCCTGATTGTGTGCTACATGGCGCTAGCCTACCCCAAACAGAGAGTGATCAGTGGGCCCCCAAACGTCACTCCATATATGCATTCCTTTTGGAAATCGCATCCTAGTGGAGATCACAAACAGCCACCTAAAGGCTGCGGCTATGAGTACATGCATTTAAATTAGTGTATTATTATTATTATTATTATTCGTCAATTCTAGACCAATGTGCCTAGTACAGATTAAACATGGGATACTAGTAAGAATGACCTTATTTAGTACCTGTCAACCCTTTGTTTCCTTTGCGTTCAACTACATTGAGCAAACCATCAAATCACTTCAAGTTTCTCTTCCGAAAATAGCACAATGACCTAGAAATTAACGTGAGCATTAAGCCCCGTGGTCAGGTCAAAACTCATCGAGCATCGTGACGAAGGTATCCGTAATCACCACCCCAAATGGCTTGATAATAGATGCACTAGAAGACGAGAAAAATCTCTCGTCTCATCTGACTGATAATTTTACCTTCTTTACGCTATCAGAGGCTGTCTGCTATCCATCATGGACGTGATTGCGGCTTTACGTGTCTTAACCTCTTTTGCGCGATCAAAAAGAACATGTTAGAGCTCGCAAATTGCCATAGCTATCCGCTACCAAAGCCACCAGAACGACCAAAAAGCATTAATCAAACAGATTAGATAATCAGTTACTTATCTGTGTGATCTCCAAATGCAGCCTTACTCAACCGCTCATGATCTGTTCACCATACCCTCCCTCATTTACATTTCGGTAGATGCTGCCTCACTCTAGATAATTAGATAACTAAAACGATCTTGTTTGCCATCTGTCATCTAAGAGACAACCGTCAAATGCATTTTGCCGCAAATATCTCTTGTCAAACATCTTCCGTGACGGTTGCAACTCTGTTCCTGAAGAATCGAACCAGCACTGCTATACCATTGGGCTTTGCAACCGATATCCTTAAAACATTTCACTTGACGTTTCGTGGTCAAAAAGACTTTTTTCAGCATGGCAGGATAGCCTTACATAGGTTCAGGTGATCAAAGTAAACGGAAGAAAGAACGACAGAGAGTGAAAGGCTAAAAGGAGAAGAATCCGAATTGAATAAAGACAGATGTCAAATCGCAAACGTGAATGATTTGATTATTTGATTATTTTACTTTGCTTTTTTCGGCAATCGGTGGATAACTTGCCACGGTTTTATGAATAGAGGATTAAGAAAATCGAACAACTTTTTACCCAATAAAGTCAACATCTTTATATTTTCACGAAGGCTGTCTCAAAACGCATGCAGAATGTGAATTTATATGTCCTTTTTTAGGTTGAGAACTATAAAGCTATGTGTATAAATAAATATTCTTGATTTTCATGTATTTAGTACAGACAACTTTCCGGCAGAGATCAGCGATCATACAAAGGCTGTGTGGGTAATCACAGAAATGGGAACAATAGGCTACCTATTGACTGATGTGCTCCATTCTTCGTGACTGGCGTCCTATAAAAGCCATTCGTCTATTTCTTTCTTTCTACCTAAACTGCATATCTCCCCGCACACACATTCTCGTTTACATTCACAAATTGTACCGTATCTCAAAGCCGCCTATTCGACGAGCTTGTCAATTTGTATGCAAACGCTTCATCACCAGCCGAGGTGATATCTTCAGTCTTTGTGAAGCGGGCTGGCTCACAATCTTTTCAGAAGTTGAGACTAAGCGCTTACACAAATTTTTATAACACCTAGAAGTGAATCAAGTGAATCAAGACAAACCACATAATCCGAGGATACACTGTACTACACGGGATGGTGAACAGAACATTAAAACTAGAATCAACTCGTCCATTCGGTCTTTCGAATAAATGGGGGTTTAAGTTCGAGTGAAAAGCCAACGGAGGAGAGATTACCGCAGAGGTGTTACTCTTGGATAAAAAGATGGCTGAAATCTAAAAATGTGACACTTGGAGGTAACCACTTGACATGGGTGACTAACCGCTTGTGTGCGGGAACTGTGAGGGAGAACATTTGGGAGAGGAAAGGAAGAGGTAATTTCGGTAGAACAAAACCCTGAATAGTATCGGTAGAACGATGAAGCGACTGCTCACCGCTAAGCTATTGAGTGCACGTTACACGTTTAGAACGAGTCGTTGATGAAACTGATGGCCTTACATTGAGGCCAATCAATAATTAACAGAAAAGTGAACGAAGCAATGCCGCAGGCATGATTGCAGTATTCAAGTGTAGGGCGAAACTGAAGCGATAAGATGTAAATAGCGGTGACAAAACGTCTGACGCGGAAGAGGAAGCCGATTTTACGCATAGGGCGTTCGACAAGCAGATAAATATACGGGGACCATAACATAGAAGAACATAAGGATAGTCCCAACAGGCTGCATGAATCTTTGGGAAGGAGATCGTTTGAGTTAGAATTTAAGGAACGGGGAAACACTGCTGTTTAAGAGTAATGTACATAAGGAAGGTTTAATTGGTATTAAAAACCACACAAGTTTGACAGCTCCAAGCAGAGATGTGAAAAGATCATAACTTAGAGAGATACTGAAGGGAAAAGTGGTCAAAATCAAAATCAGAGAGAAAAAAGACAAAGAAGAGTGTAGGGTAGCATCATCCGTAAAGGCATGAATATGACCGAAAATTGGAGAAGCAGGTCATCAACGAAAATCATGCTAAATGAGCGCCGGAGAATGGGACCGAACGGGGCCGAAAACCGTACTGGTGGGTGCTAATTACCCCGTTCTACTCCAGGTGTCCTCGGATCAGCAGTGATCGGCAATGTTTGATTCCATAACTTGCCATCAGACTGCTATGAGAAAAATGAAGCGATTGTTATTTACATATGAGTGCTCGTCGCGTTTGGGAATGGGAAATATTTCTGATATATTTCAT